AAACGAAAAAAAAAAAAAAATAAAAAATAAAATAAAAGAAATGAAAGGAAAGAGAGGAAAGAAGCGTGTATACCGTGATTGTATATGTAGAGTTAAAGCGAAGAGGATTAAGGAACAAGTGGGAAACGAGATAAAGAAAGAGAGAAAAAAAAAATAACAACAGTGTGTGTACGTACGAAGTGAGTCACTAAGCTAGCGCTTAATCGATAAGGTTAACGTTTAAAGCCTAAGTCTTAAGATGATAATTAAATAGAATTAAGGAAACGGGCATGTCGGTTGCAGCGTGTGGGGGCGGTGGTCGTGGAAAAAAGAAAATAGAAAATGAACGAGTCTGATCGAGTAAACGCTTGGTCGTTGTTCTGTGTACCATGGGCAATGCGCAATTAAGTAATTAATGTGGGGTTTGCGATCGTGTATATATAGTTAATGTCTATTTGGGGAGTTCGCAAGCACCATTTATCGGATAAAAGAACTTAAAATGCTTGATGAAAAATAAGCAGCTTTTGGTATCCTATCGTGTAATACGTATTTATTGATAGCATGTTGCATATAAGGTGGATTACCTTCAGTTTTTCGATAATCGTCCAATAAATATTTTTTACTATATATTGTATAATAATAATAATAATGAATTTTTCTCGTCCAATGAACTGAATGTGTTTATATAATAATAAAATATTATTTGATGCATTTATTACAGATATTTTGAATCATGCTTACCACGTCCAGATTATTCTTAAGTAGAGAGAAAAGATGTCTGATAATTGGCGATTAATTATAAAGCCACGTCCTCACACGCCTATGTACCGAAGAGTTCCTGACAACTTGTCATTCTCCAGACAGGTTGCTAATTTCGTAATATCTTTCTAGGCATTGTATATCTATCAAAATACGTAAAGAAAAAGGGGAACGGTAGTCCATTGCCTCTCGTATTTCAGTCAAAACAAAATCCATCATTTCGAGTGCTGTAATTTAAGAAACGTTCATCATGCCGTATAATTCAATTAACCGTCTTTTATACAAATATATAAAAATAGCACTGAGCCAAAAAAAAAAGCACAATTAAAAACTTTGGATTTCATATCGATAAAATAGAAGAAAATTCGCTACACTCGATAAGAACACGATATTATCTCTAAAATTCTATTTGACTGCATAGTCTCAATCGGTATTTCTTTGTTAATTTTCTTTTCGAAAAATAAATCGAAAAACGCGTAGTAAAAACTTATGTTTTCACATGTCATTATTGCTAATGAAAAAATTCAAAATACTCTTTTACTACTGTACATTCGATGCATTTGTAAATACAGTTAATGCACATATACAACTTTCCTCGATTAAATTAAAATATCGTCATTGTTTCAGACGAACATTTTTCCAATTCGATAAAAAAAATTTTCTAAAATTTGCGATTTCATTGATAATAATTCCGTACTACGAAGACTGATAAATCCAATAAATACACGATAAAAATGTTATTTTTCACGATAACAGAATTTAAAACGAGAGAATGGTGACGTGAGATTCACTTGATCATGAAATAATTTCCTAACCTCGAGATCGTTTAGAGAATCGATTCAAGATTTTTACTTTTAGAAATTCATTGTCAAAGGAACAATAGTACTTATCGAGGGTGCTCCGATTTTCTTTGAAATGCGGCGAAATAAGTCCTGTGTCATGGGCCAGGCTTGTTACACACGACATTGTAAATAATTCCATGCGAATGAAGCGAAAAGATGAACGCATCGATGAAGTTTTTTTTATCGGCGGGGCAATGTGAAAGGCGACGTCTGACGTCGTGGCATTGAATCGCGAGCCGCGACCACTGTATACGATACCGCGTAGGTAAAGTAGGTACCTGTTAAATAGACTAAAAAAAAAAAATGATTACAAAGTTAATGATAGCAGAGAAACTAATTAATTACTATTTATTGATACGGTACTGTAACGATATACGACGCAATCGTCCCGGTGTACGGACGATTCGACCACGTTCGACGATCTGATTGTCTGTAACCGTGACGAAGGAAAATAGAGTAAAAGGATGACAATATTATTAAGAGCCGCCACGTAGTCGTCCCCCAGATGTACTTGTGATCGCTCCAGTGTGTAGCGTTCTTATGCTTTATTTTCAATGAAATGTAAGAAAGGATAAACACACGACTGTTGTAGATATTTCACACCTGTAGACGTCTATATATATATAACCATTTTCTGTATTTATAGATACGTATAAATATCTATATTTACAGATTCGTAATTCGTAAAAAACGCAAATAATCGATACCAATGCGATTTTGTGAATAGAGCTTAAGATGCCCCGTGGAACCGGAATTATGTATATCATTTTTTCTCGCTGCATCGGCTGCACACTCGAGCCATCAGTGTTACGTGGACACATTGCTCCGACCGAGCCGGTAGAACATTCATGTACATGTTATATTATACAGGAACATATTACACACATACACACGAAACAGCCGCG